ATATTGGAAGTCAGTCCGACTTTGGAAAACCTAGGTAGTTACACGTATCATTGAAATGATACATAAGGTACTTCGAAGACGACCCGACTTTTGCGTGTATCATTTATATGATATACACGGAGGGCAGACCTTAATCGCCTTTGCGAGAAAGAGTACTCGCCAAAGGGTCAAGGATTTTTTGGAAGAACTTGTGAAACCGTAACGGCTTTGCAAAGGTCACCTTTCTAGTTGATGATTAATTTATACTTATGTTTAAATCATGTGATTTCTGTATCCCACGTACTCATGCATGGTGTCCTATCAGCCTATATGGGCTGGGCGACAATATTTATACACTTCTATGCCTGGCTTTTACCTGTATGATTGCAATTATATACACGGGAGACGATTTTGCAACGATTGAGATTTTTAAAGTCGGACTGTCTTCATGCTGTCTAACAACAATTTTGGTAAAAATTAGGTAATTTTCGGGGCCCAATGTGATTCAGGTGAAAGTCGTGTTGTCGTCGATACAGGCAAAATGTATCGGCTATCGAATGATTGCTAGCGTACTCGTTTTTACACAAGTGCATACATGTCAGTGGCTCGTTCAGTTGAAGCAAAAGAGCCATATATATAATTCTTGAGCATTCTTTCCCGAAAGGGTGAGTATTGCGCAGTACACTGCCCTTGGCTTGGCAGCGGCCCTTCGCCGGGTAATGACGTCGCTGGACGTGACCCGGAAACAGATGCAACCAGATACCGCGAAACCCCCATAGGGTGCGTATTTTGACGGAAATCCAATGGCGGAAACCTCGCCGAAAAATGGAAATGAGTCAACTTTGACGCTACAAAGCTCGTTTTTGTGTACAAGTATGATCTTCAAGTGAACTTCCCGAGGTTCCCTGACTTGTAAGGATTACAACGACATATATTTTAGCCTGGCTTTCCCGATTCTGACTGCGCTATGATAAATTCTGTGAACCATGCTAAGGACTCATTTCGGCGGTTAACACATGGTCACCCTCCGCCATGTTGATGACGCAATAAAATGCACCGGGACAGACCGTTCCATTGTAGTTTAGGGGATCAGAGAGACTTTTGAAAATGTGTCTACAGATATAAAATGATTTGGTACCGAGGTTGTTTCATCGTTTCGAGAATTTTTTCAGCACATGTTGGATCTCCATGTAACGTTATACTAGTAGACACTTAACATGTTTTACTTCATACATACTATGTAATACATAACAGGTGTTTCTTTGGCAAGATATAAACGCCGCCTAGCGGATAAGCGGACATGTGCAATCTGAGATAAAAGCAAAGACTAATGGTGTTGGGGCACTGTGGAAGTTCTGATACCGTAAAACACACCAAAATACATTTCTTTTAATACGGTATTTCGGTGAAAAAATAACGTATCGCTTTCAACATTTCTATTTTTAGAGGGATCATGCGAAGGGGTCCTAGTTTATTCCCCAAAAGCCAAATAGAAGGAACAGGAAAAGCAATAGACGAAGGACAATAATATACGGCCACTTTTAATTAAATACTAAATCATGGTAGGTTTCGGAGTTCCCTTGAAACTTTGGGAGACAAAAAAAATAAAATGGAGGTTCTGTGGTAATGAGAAGAGTGTGTTTGTTTCCAGGACTTTGTAGACCTGGAAAAAGTTATGACAGTCTGATAGACATGCATACAGAAATAAATCGTTGTTTTATATCACATGTTGTTGGATGGAAAGCAGCATATCGTTTTCCAACCGTTTGCTATACAAGAATCGTGTGAAGGGGTAGCTGGGCCGCGCTCCACTGGCGCTCTGAGAGTTCTATTTAGTCAATGTCATTATTACCGAGGTTACACAGCACCGATCTCTCCCGGCGGTCAACAATAGTATCACACAATACAGCCGCAATCAGACCCAAGCTGACAGAAAAACACCACGAACACAAGTCTTGTGGAACGAGAGAGGCTTTCAAACTCATTTCGCGTAACATACCTGAGTATTTTTTTCTCAAGGCAGTGGTCATTTCTTTTTTGCCAATAACTTAAACTTAGCTTGGGGATAGTGCATTAATGAAGCTTACTGGTCTTTGTAGTCTCACAAAAATGAGTTACGGTGACTCTTTCCTCATGTAAAAGACTTTTTGTTGATATATGGTAGGTTATATTAAAGTTACAGTAGTTCAAAGTGGTTGGAGTGACTTTGCAGTCGCTCCAAACCAAGGTAACACATGCGACCCAAGGTATTAACGTATTCTCCCCACATGGTGAGGTCATAGGTCAGTTCAAATCATGGCTGCTGCCGACCTGAAAGTCGCGACGTTCTGTGTTGTAACCGGCGCTAGCAAAGGGTTCGGACGGGCCGTGGCCATCAACCTAGCCGAGGCAGTCGGGGACGGTTCTCTCATCGTGATCACAGCGAGAGGAGAGGGCGGTCTGGACGAGACGAAGAAGAAAATCGAGGCGGTGGCGCCGCATGCTCAGGTGAAGGTAGTTGCAGGGGACATTGCGGGAACGTACAGCGACGCGCTACACGCCAGGATCTGTGACATACCCTCACCGGGGAGTTTTAAACATGCCATCATCATCCACAATGCGGGTATGTACTTACGTGTACAGAATTTAGACATTTTAGCGTATGCCTAGTCATGTCGGCTGTTGTTTAAAACAGTTGTCTTACGGTGCAGTACAGTATTATTCCGCATGGGGCGCTTGGTGGTGGGCGTGGCTCGTGGAAAGCCGGGCCGCAGGTTTAGCATACTAGTTGTAGTCAACGCTTGTAATGATGTGGAATATCAGATAAACTTGGGCTTTTAAAGATGTACTACGTAGAGCACTATACTCAAAGAGAACTAGCAAACGCGGGGTTTTTGCAATCAATTCAAGAAATCCAACCAGATTTCTAGCCTGCATATCGTTGCTATTACTAGTATGTTTTGATATGACGCAGTCTATCGTTTCTATCTTTACAATTTTACTCAGGTTCGCTAGGTGACGTTTCCAAGCTGACGTCAGAACTCTCCGACCCCAAGGTCATCACCGACTACTACCAGCTGAACGTCAGCAGCGTCCTGTGTCTGAACTCCACGTTCTTCTCAGCCACGGCGTCCATCCCGAACGCGCGGCGGACCGTGGTTAACGTCACGTCATTGTGCGCGCTGCAGCCATTCAAGTCCTGGTCACTGTACTGTGGCGCTAAAGCTGCGAGAGACATGATATTTAAGGTGTGGTACTGGTCTGTAGTTCCCCTTAATTGAACTTCCTTTTGTTTCCCATGTGTTTCTCTCATTTTATCGTCTTCAAGTAAGGCGGTACGGCATCGGATTCTGTGCCGGGTGTTGCTGCTAAATGGTCACTCTTGTTTTCAAGGCCCACAGCTTGCATAACTCAATAACACGCACACAAACCACAAACTATTTTTCTAGGGATTTTTCTGTTCTTGTATACCACGCGTATTACACGCTGTGGTAAGTTACCAAAAAGAAAAAAAAAGAAATTAGTGAAGAAAACTCTTGTCTCTCCTGTCTAGTTTTCCTTCTTTTCTTTTTCTATTTATTTTGTTATACCCCAAATAAAAACGGGTTATGCCTCATCGTTAGATGAGTTACACCATCATTAAGCGCACATTTCCCTCCAGGTTCTAGCGCAAGAGCAGCCCGATGTCAGAGTCCTGAGTTACGCACCCGGCCCGCTGCAGACTGATATGGCCGAGGAGGCAGCGTAAGTCGGAAAGAGTTTTTATCAAAATTGATTTAGAATTCAATTTTTTTTTACTTAAAGGTGTCTTATAAGATTTTGATTTAACACTGTGTAACAGTGGGTTTCAAGCGCTACCAACTGGCAAGTGTAAGTACTAGTAGTTCGGACCTTTTTAACCTTGCGAGTAGGGCGTTGGGTTCGTAAGAGTTCGAATCCCGGGAGTCAGGAGACTGTACAACTCGCCCCTTTGCGTGTCAACTGAAATGATCCGTTAATGTGTGAGATAGGATATTGATACGGATGTCTTTATGTTTTTCTTCGGTCCGCAGGCAGAAGACTGCAGACCCGGACGTTCGCGCGTTCTTCGTCGGCATGTCTAAGAGCCGGAGCGGCCTGGATCCGGACGTCTCCGCCAAGAAGATGGTCAAACTTCTCGGGGACAACAAGTTCGAAAACGGGAGCCACGTGGACTTTTATGACTGAACATTTGTGTATGAACGTTCAATCATAAAACGTGGCCTAATATATGGATATTATTTTATACAGAGCGTATAAAGTAGAGCGTTTCAGGTTATGTATTACATGTACGTACATTTAACGGTCTAACAGCTAATAATATTTACACGTGAAACTCTAGGAGCTGTTTCAAACTCTCACATGAGGATACCCGCTACCTCTACAGCATGTAGTATTTTTAGAACTCGCGAATTCGACATTTTATCTTTTGTTTCAATTAATAGAAAGGTTGTCTTTGAAATAACAAAAAAGGATAAATCCTCGTTACAAGCACTTACGTCTGACAATGACTAGCTAACATTAGTTATTTGCTAACTTTACGCAACAAAAGTAGACTGACTAGTTTATCTCATGGATAGACATTCTACAAGCTTGAATCAAGAGTAGACTGTCATGTGCCTTCCTCGCTTGTTTGTGACAGACAATTTTG